TCTCTCTCTCTCTCTCTCTCTCTCTCTTCTCTTTTTCTCTCTCCCTCTCTTATCTTTCTCTCTCTCCCTCTATTCTCTTTCTCTCTCCATCTCTCTTCTCTTTCTCTCTCCCTCTCTCTTTCTCTCTCCCTCCCTCCCTTTCCTTCTCCATTTCTTTCTCTCTACATCTCCCTCTTCCCTTCCCCTCCCTCCCATACTTAGTTCCTTGCCCATTCTCCCTCCCACCATCTCTCTTTCTGCAAACATATTGGCAAGCTCTCCTTACCGCAATCGGCCTAGGTCGCCTGCATTCACTGCGCATTGCTTGCAACATACTCAAGACTGTCACTTGCCACGAGCTATATTCGTAACCTTGATTCGATAAAAATGTCATGTCATCGCAAATAAAGATGTGGTGGCAAGCGGAACTTCTTTCGTCTGCTTGACAGGATCTCGGATCGTGTCAGTCTGGCAGCTTCCATAATGAATGAATTAGTGGTCAGCTTTTAACCACATAACATGGCCTTTGGCATGTCTACGGATAATATTTTGTGATCTATTATTCATCAGAGTAAAAAAAAGAAAAAAAAATCACGGTCCTTCCTAACTATTTACAATAAAACCAAGTTTACTGCTGCCTGTTATACAGCTGATGTATTATGTAAAATGGTTTGTGCATTTCAATCATATGCATAAACACATCTACATTTAGTGTCGGTACTGGCTGAATGTGTTATTTTTCGCGCGGTTTAATATACAAAGATATAAGAAATATCAGCATTGCTCTCCAGCAAGAATCTAGTAAGTAACAAGTAGCTGGCATTCCCAACACCGGTTCTCACCCCAAAACGCACTCCCTTCGCCCCTCAGGTCCCGTACGAAGAGCAGGACCCGGCGAGTTGGACGGACTGGTACCTCGGGCAGCCCTACAGCACGGGGTTCGCCAAGTTCATCATCACTACGCAGAGTTACTCCATGTGGGTACTTCGCGCCCTCAGCCCCTTCCTCTTCCTGTACGGGGATTGGCTTACGAGTGAGTCTGCTTGTTCCGGGCTTCCTGGCGCGAAAACCCCAACCGAAGGGGAAAACTTGTTCTTTCTTCTTCGTTGCTTCGAACTCGAGATTCGGGGTGCTCGAGGCAGTCAGTTTGGGGTTGAAGTCAGGAATTAAAGTCAAGGAATTACTGTAAAGGTGATATACAGTAAAAAAAAAAAAAAAAAAAAAAAAAAAAAAAAAAAAAAAAAAAAAATACATGTTGAAGAACAATCAACACCTTTGGAATAAGAAAACCCATTCAAGAAAATCCTTGAACTTACATGTTAGAATATAATGTTGTGAACTTGAGACGAAACTCAAAGTAATAAAGTTTATATAATCCACATTTGTTGCAAGATCAGTGAACTTTCCGATCCAGGGATTAAAAAGCTGTCCACGTTTTTATCTTAATTTTTCAAAGGTCAATTGATTCTGCGCTTGACCCCTCCATTACTATCTTTGAATATCAAATGACGATAACAGCGCGAAAGGAAGGCGAGAAAATCATATTTATTTTGCGTAAGAATTAGAGTGCGTCTCAAAAAGCATGTGGGTCCAGTTTTTGATTCAGCGCAATTTTTTGTTAGATATGAATATAATTGAGTAGATAAAAACTGGAGCAGGAAAGGCCCAAAACATAAGGAAAAGGAAAAGATGTAGAAATATATATGTAATGTTTATTTTCCCTATACAGAATTTATCATACCTCGCATAGCTACAAATACAAAATGTGTTTAATCAATAACCCAAAAAATACTAACCCTATACAATGCGTAGCCAGGTGAGTGTTCTCAGGAACATGTGACGAAAAAGTCTGTCACAAGTTACGTGAAGACTAAAAGCTACCAAAATTGCTTAACACTCAAACCTGAAACCTATTATGGTCAGAAAATGAAGGTCTTGGATACTATGAGAGAAAGTGGTCACCTTCTTTTACAGTGTTTGTAAAAAAGATTATATGAGTCAGGCATGTGTGAAAATGAGGGACGATGCAGAATGAATATGTGCGATATCTACCTTATAGATGGATTAATGACTGCTATTATCATTATTGTTATTATTATTGCTATTATTATTATTATTATTATTATTATTATTATTATTATTATTATTATTATTATTATTATATCATTTATTACTTTCATTATTTTTTACCATAATTACTATCATCATCATCATCATTATTATAGTCATTATTATTTGTAGTAATAGTTTATTATCATCATTATTTTTATCATTATCATTAGTAGTAGTAGTTTATTATTATCATCCTGATTATTACAGGAATACCAATGAGGATGAAGTTAAAGTTCTTTGGTTCTTTGTTTTCATCTCCCGCCTTGAATAGTTTCGTTCAGATCTTTTTTTTTGTATGTATCTCCTCATTACGTAAAATTGAAGAGTAGCAAAATGCAATTTAATTCACACCCATCCACGAAGAACACATGAACCCCACGCACTTCCACTACCAAGCCTCCGCGTGATTTCGAAACCTTGCAGAGAGCCTGAAGGTGCCGGCGGCGTGGCTGGGCGGCGAGCACCCTGACGAGGGCGGCGCCGCGCGAGGGTCCCCGGCGGGCGCGAAGATGCCGGTGCTGGTGGTGTCGCACGGGATGGCCGCCCACCGCTCCGCCTTCTCCAGCCTCGCCACCGACCTCGCCTCGCACGGCTTCTTCGTCGTGGTTCTTGAGCACCGGTGCGTGGGGCGGGGCGGGGGGGGGGGGCGTCCGGGGTCCTTGTCTGACGCTTGACTATATGTGTGCTGTGTGTTTGTTTGTTTGTGTATGTGTGTGTGCGCGCGTGTGTGTGCGTATGTGTGCATTTGTGTGTATGTGTGTGTGTTTATTTATATGTGTGAATTTATGTCTGTAAGCATATATTCTTGTCTAATGCATGCGTACATATTGATAGTATTCGAAGTTTATGTATTCGTATTTTAGACTTAGAAATCATCATTAGTTCTCCGTCAAAGAAAAGAAGAAAATACCCGATATTAAGGCACTTGCTCCCCTGTGCCTTCAGAGACGGGTCATCCTGCGCCTCCTTCCACGTGGGTCCTTCGAACAGCAAGACGTGGACGATCTACAGCGGTTATGAGCGGGAATCTCAGGTGCCGGCCTCTTCGCTTGTTTGTTAGATAGTTTGTAGGCCCGTCTGTTT